CTCTTTCTCTCTCTCTCTCTCTCTCTCTATCTCTCTCTCTCTCTCTCTATCTCTATCTCTCTATGCCCCCCTCTCTCTGTCTCTCTCTCTGCCCCCCTCTCTCTGTCTCTGCCCCTCTCTTTCTCTTTCTCTCCAGTACATAATTGAGAACTGACAGTCAGTCCCACAAAAATTTGAACACACACCCACGTACACATTAGTGATAACACACAGCCACTTGTATCTGAACTGCACAAATAAAAAAATCTATGCTGAAACAACGAATGTATACTGGGAATGCAGGATATGTACTCGACAAACATGTTGCAATGATATATGTTGGTGCTATGTTGTTGAATCGCTTAAGACAAAGGTTAGATTTTATTTTGTCTCACTTTATCATACATTCTTATCTTACATTTTTCATACTTTATCTCATCTTACCTTATCTGGTCTTCTAGTACAATATTTATATCTCATGTTATCTTTTTTATCTTATTCTTGAGATATCCATGACTTAACGGGTAGTTGGCAGGTGCTCTGGTGTGGTTTGCTTCTTCTTTCCTACCAAACATCTATCTTCCAGATCTCTCCTCCTTCATTTTTATGTTCATTACTCTCTTGTAACACTTTAATTAATCTTCGGCTCTTATATGACCTTATATTGTGTTGCAAGTGCATTAAAACTCTAACTTCTTTCTTTCTTTTATCCGCCCCTTATGGGTGTTGCGGGAAGAAAGAGACGTCTCTCTGCCACCAGCCGCAGAGCTTGGGCCAGGGGGATGCCATAAGTTGTTAGTGTTTCCCTGACTCCATCTATCCAGGTCTTTCTCTGTCGCCTTCTAGCCTTGTTGCCATTGAATTTTTTTATGTAGGCACATTGGGCTGGATGGCGTGTTGGTAATTTTTAAAAACTAATGTGCCTGACTTTGTACCTGTTGACCTCTCCACAGGTGTCTGTCGTCCTCTCCGACCAGTCTGTCCAGGGAAGAGCGAGACCTGGTCTCTGCTGCTCTGGATATGCTGACCTCTGCCTGCAAAGACAATGGTCAGTAGTTCGCGACCTCAGTGCTTTTTTGTCGTATCTCCATTTTTTTATAACAGTGAAAACAGTGAAGACTGAGTTTAAGAAGACGTCACATTTTCAATGTTTAATAAAATGGAGATACGACAAGAAAGCATTGAGGTCGCGAGTTGTCTCTACACTGTTAAACCTATTACTGGCAAGGGCCGATTAGATCAATACTTTCTTTGCCACCAGACTGTTACTGCCAATTGTTACTGCTGATTAAATTAGCAGTTTCCGAAAACAGTCTACACAAACCCAGAAAATGCCGACGCTGAACGAACGTGCTCTCATTTTTAAAAGAAGAACCTCCTGTGGTTATTAGAACTCTTTTTGAGCAAGAGGAATGAAAAAGATTGTTCTTTATTTTAGAACCACCGGCAGCCGCCACTCTACAGGTCAGTGAAAATGGCTTTGCGAGTACTCAGCAGTTTCAGAGATATCTGGCCGATTTTAGGGGAGAAATGTCAAAGTCATAGATTTTTTTTTCACCATATTTTATAACTTTTTCAAAAAGCTTGTCAAATATATATCGTTTTCTGGTCTTTGTATTAACATATACTCATTTCTTACATCTAAAGAAACATCCTTTTTCCTAAGACTTTACCCTGACAAGTGCAAGTTTACCACGGACATTAATAAGGTTAACCATTTCATTGCCAGACCCAATCTAAACCCCAATCAAAGTATGATTAAAGTACACTTGAAGTTTCTGGCTTGCTTGGTGTTGAAGGAGTTAATGACTTAGTTGTATGATAAAAATAAACATTCTTTTACTTGCTGCTCATTTCCATTTGCTAATGTTTTTTTCTCGATGACAGGCGTTTTAGACCATATTTTTAGCTGAAATATGTTTGGTAAATACACCTGCATCAGGATGCTCAATCCCCCTGTGAAGGCGGTTTTCGAAGATTAGAGGTGTTACAAGTGCAAAAAACAAAAGGAGAAGAGATAAGGACAATAGATGTTTGATAGGTCAATAGAAAGTACATTTACATTTAATAACATTTTACAGGTGAATCTAGCAAACAGCACATATGTAATAAGTGGTCAGGCTGCAAAATGGACGTGTCAGGATGGAAGAAATCAGAAAAGATGGCAAAGATATTAAGCTCTTTGTGTCAATCAGTAAAGTTCATCCCATGTTATCTTGTTTCATCTTATTTCATCTTATTTTCACACACAACTTTCTGAATTTTCATGCATAATTTCCTCAATTCCATTTTTTTTTCTCATCAGAGACGAGCCAGCAAAAGCTCATGCAACTTCCAGGCTTCCCTGAACAGATGATCGTGATCCTCGAGGCCAAGTTCAAAGGTCAGGGTCGACTGCTACGCACAAGCTGCCTCAACCTCCTGCATGAGACCTCGCTCACAGATGCAGGTCGGGGGGTCATCGTGGCAAAGTACGACATCCACAGGTGAGAAAGAGAGAAAAGAAATCTTATGTCACTTTATTGCATTCTGAAAGGGAAACTCTTGAATTGATGTTGTTGTTGTTGTTATCGATCCAGCTTGAATTTATAATATCTACTTTAAACGATTCTGAGGTTATGCCCTTTTTAAGCTAGGATTATCTTACCGTGTTCAAGGACACACCTCTATAGTCTGTGAATACTTTAATTTTGCCCATTGTTAGTTATTCACTTTGATTAATTCCTCAACTCCAAGGGGGGATAAACCCACTATACCGGGGCCCTCTTTTGGTAGAAATCTAAAATTGACATATACTTCACTAAACTGGTCATTTAATCAACACAAGTGAACCTATTTCGACAGTTCTTCTTCTAATGAATAAACACCTGGTAAAAGTGTTGTTACTTGGAACATAAAACAAAGATTTAACACTACTAACCTTCTGTCACATGCCACTATAATAGGAATTAGCCAAACCTGTTCTTCTGCTCTGTGTTGTGATTCCTTCCGCAGCTTTGGGGCCTCGATGCGTTGGATTGGAATCTCACACTTCACGCACAACTGAACCGAGGCTCTAACTAGCCTTTTTCACAACCTATACTGTCAGCAGGCCTCCTCTGCCTTGATACAACTCTCTCCTCTCAAAGTCCCACCAGTAGCAACTCAGACTTTTATCAACTTGCAAACAATACAACTGAACACAGACTCACACTTTACTCACTCTCACACTTTCAGCCAAACAATACAATAGGCTAGGCCTAACCCCCTGCCACAACCAAAAACAATCAAATACACCACAAAAAGAGACATATTTTTGGCTATTGCCGAAAAGTAATTTGATGTCCGTCGAAGTTGGCGTACAGGAATGTACCTGAGCCACTGCCAGCGGCTCACTGGCACAGCGGCTTCAACTGCAAAGCGGCTTGCTGGAGATAAGGAGTTATAGTGAAAATTTTGATAGAATTATGAGAATTGGTCGCATTTAAGCGCAAGGGGGCTATCCCGAAAAATGCTGCTTTGAGAAAATCGAAGGTAAAGTTTTTGCTCCCTGTTCAGTTTCTTTAAAAGACAAGAAGAGTTTTCTCTATAACCAAGCAAATATACACACCGCTGAAACCAAACTTCTCCTATAGGTAGGGCAATGCCCACTTTTGGTGTATGTCAAGATTTCTGGAAACCCCCGAAATCTGCGTTAGCCCGCTTGTCCTTAAAAGCAACCATTTGCCTTTTACCCTCAGACTTATATCAGCATTACTCCCCCTGATGGTGAAACCTTCCAGCTACACAGACACAGCAGCGGCCGTGTTGAACAACATCGCTCTGGAAAAGAAGTGAGTGGAAACTAAAAATTGTGGAACATTTAAACTAATGTACTCTAAGATATCAAATAAAAGGTGGGGGGGATGGGGGGGCAAATGGTCCAAAATTAATAAACAGGGGGGTTGGAACAAAAGCGGGGGGTTGTGGGGGGGGACTTATTCGATACCTTAGAGTATGTGAGATATCGTGATGGAAACAAGCGCTCGTCGAAATAATGAAATAGAAGAAACAAGCCGTTTTCTGCCAGTTTATCAATTTTTATGGAATAATTTCTGTTTTTTGGCACAACGCCCTTTATGTCAATGTAAAAACACATTTCCATGTGAATTTTACTGAAAAATGTTGATTAAAAGCACAAAGTCTGTACATTTGCACTTTTCAAGAACTCTTAATTTAGCTATTGAAGTTACCATACTTTGGCCGCCATTTTCTCTTTCATTTTGCCTCTGAAATCAGGCAACCCCCAGCTCCTTCAATTGCAAATATATTGACTTCTATTCCAGATAGATGGGTATATTTCCGCCAAATGCAAGACAAATCAAAGAGATTTATGATAATACTAATAACTCCATATGCCCAAAAATTGTTGAGCCCCTGATTCCACCGCACCGTGACATATGCAAGGCTTGGTGGTGAAATCAGGCGCTCGTCAAAATAATGAAATTAAAGAAACTACCATGTTTCAGTCTATTTTGGCAATTTTTATCTAATTTAAAATTTTTGATTCATGCCTTGTATGTCCATTGAAAACATTGCTGTGGGGATTTTATTGAAAAGAGTTGATTAAAGGCATTCAAATTGACCGTTTTCGGTGGCTCTCCAGCTTTAGAAATCACTAAATTTGGCTGTCATTTTCTCGCTAATTTTACCTCTGAAATCAGGCGACCCCCAGCTCCTACAATCGCAAATATATCGATTTCTATTGAAGACAGATGGGTATTTTTTGCCCCAAATGCAAGACAAATCAACAAGGTTTATGATGATACTGATAACTTCGTATGCCCAAGAATTGACGAGCGCCTGATTCCATCGCACAGTGACATATATGTGACATGGGTAGTCCATTGGGTAGGCTACCGAACTCGTAATCGTGAGGCTGAGGATACAGGGGTTCAAGGCTCAGGCCCATCGTTGTGTCCTTGGGAAAGACGCCACGCAGAAAATTTCATCTCTTCACCCAGGTGTGAATGGGTACCGGGCCATAGACAACGAAAATTCTTGTCAGTATGTTAATGTTTTATCACCAGTATATATGGCAGCTTGCTCTGTATGCTTCCCTTGAAGTTGAGATTATTCTAGAATACTGTCCGGTCTGCTGGGATAATGATACAGATTTGTAAAGTGGATAGAGCTTACTGCTGAGCGGGAATTTGCGCTGTATGAATTCTGTTTATAATTGTTATTATCTTTATTATTATTATTATTATTGTTTTCATCATTATTATTGTTTTCATTATTGTTTTTATTATTATTATTATTATTATTATATGTGACCCTTTGACTCAAAATCTAAGACTCAAACAAAGAAGCTGCTATATATAGTTTCTAGAAGGGACACCACCAAAACAACATGGATGATTAAATAGGCTATATGCTAAGTGAGACTATCCATAGGTTATTCTGTTTTGCTTTTCAGGGTGAAGACTCTATTACGTGACAACATTGAAGTGAAGATCCTGCCTGAATTTGAAAATTTGTTGGTAAGACTAAGAGTTGCTTTATCATTTATTCTCTGAAGGTTTTTTTTACTTCTTTTTTCATACTGAATTTTAATGAGAGTAATAATATATAATTTAAATTTTTATGTGTACCTACATGTGTTTTAACTGTCCTCTACTGCTAAGGAAAATTTCCCTCTGGGATAATAAAGTATTATCTTATCTTATCTTGTCAAAATTTAGATTCTGATTGTTGAAAAGGACAAGAAAAGATTAGATGTAAATTAGGTTTAAGTTTAATTGTTAAAAGAATGAAACAGTAACAGTTTGGTTTTTTTTTTCTTTCCTGAAACATTTTGCTTTCTGGGCTTATGCTTCTTGCTTATGCATGTCATTGTATTGTTAATTTTCTCACACGGATAAGTGAAAGGTATTTTTATTTCTCTATCTTTCTTTCTTTCTTCCTTTCTTCTTTTTTTCTTTCTTTCTTTCTTCGTTTCCTTCTTTCATTTTTTCTTTCTTGGTTTTTTTCTTTCTTCCTTTCTTTCTCTTTTTCTTTTTTGCTTTCTTTCTATTTTCCTTTCTTTTTTTCTTTCTTTTTTCTATTTTTCTGTTTTCTTTCTTTCTTTTTTTCAAAATTACAGAGCAGCAATAAGACAAGCGCACAGATAGCTGGGCTCGCTGCTTCCAGCGCCACCAACTTGGCAGGAGATCCCATCGTAAGGAACAAGATGGCCGCCCAACCGATTCTGTGGGAGACTTCAGCGAGACTGATGGTGAGATTGTGATCCTTAGTTCTCTCGTTCATGTTGTTGGGGGTCTTAAAGTATAATATGTGACGCGACGCTCTGGAATCAGGCGCTTGTCAATTTTGGAGCATGTGGAGTTATTGGTATCGTCTTACTTAAAGATTGTTCTTTTATCTTGCTTTTGGTGGAAAAAATGCTCTTTTATTATGAATAGAAGTGGAAATATTTGCAAGTGAAGGAGGTGGGGGTCGCCTAGTTTCAGAGGTAAAATTAGCGAGAATATTACCACCAAAGTTACTTGACTTCCAAAGCTTGAGAGTCCTTGAAAATTGCAAATTTACCTTTTTTATACCTTAAATTAAAGTTTTTCAGAAATGTGCTTTTTAATGGATCACACCCTAACTCGCCCGCGACCACCTGCGAATTCCCTTACGCGCTCCACCCTGACTCGCCCGGAACCGCCCGCGCCAACCTAGCATCTTCAGAAACGAAGTCTCGCCTTGACGAGACTCCGGGGCCAAGATTTTGATTCGCATAGTTATTGCAAAAAGTTTCTTCTTTCGTTTGATACCAAAACGAAATTTTTCGGGCCAGTCGTTTTAGTATTAGAGCCGGTAGAAGTGCGATCGCGTTACCGACACTTCGTAGGTGTCTCGACTTGTTGAAAAGCAACACAATTGAGTTCGAAAAAGGAAATAACGATGGATATGAGCACAAACAAGCATATGGCAAATCAGATGACTCAGATTTTGATGAAAACGTTGTAGCAAGAGTTTGGGGCGATTCAGACTGATCAGACGTAGAAAATCTAGAATTTAGATCTAGGGCCCGACCGCGAGGCTGAGAGTGAGAGTGACGGGTCAGACACCCCGATTGAACTAAAGTTACAACATTTCCAACAGTTTGCGCCTACATAAAGTTAGATTTTTCTGAAACTAAAATTCATTATTCGTTTTAACTTTTATTTTTTCAGGATTTTTGGAGTTTGTTTAGTATTTTTAAAATGTGTTTTTTAAAGGCCTGTATTCACAGGAGGTGGGTTCTTTCCCCTTGCTTAGGATCTAACAATGGACTTCCCGTCCAGGCCCTTAGGGTGTAATGTGTTAAAGGTGTTGAGTCAAAAAATAAGAATTGGATAAAAAATGCCATTTCGGGCAAAAAAATGCCAGTTTCTTCGATTTCATTATTTTGTCAGTTGCCTGATTTCAGCACGATTCTTCACATATCGTCGGCCTAGTGATAAAACCGACTAACCCACAAAATTTCAAAAAAAATTTTATTGGCCCTATCGATAGTAAATTGTCCATTTCATATGCTCACTCAAAGACAGATCATAATTTTGTGTAGAAATGCCTTTAAAACATCAGAAATAAAACCGTATAACCCGGCACCCATCGGATTTTAGCCCGATAACTCCGACTATCCCACCTGCGAGGGAGGGAATGAGGGTTGGCTGTTTTTATCGCGCTAACAATGAGGGGCCACTTGCTACGTTACCGACTAACCCCGGCTTTGACTCCTCTCCGGACTTCGTTTGACATCAGATTCAGACCTGTAATAGTCCAGAATTCGCTCACTTAACCGTGGGAGCTCTCCAAAAAAGGAATATTTGAGTAATATTTCTTGTTGGTTTCATTGGGGAGTTAAATAGATCTTGTCGTTTCCTCTTTTTTCTTCGTTTTAATGCTGCTGATAATGTTATTAATGACTAAAACTCCCCACTGTTCCCACAAAACTGTTTATCTCGTGACAACGCTGGTGTTTCAAATGCATCTTCATGGATTTTGTTTTATATGAAACTACTTATTATGTCCACATGTACTGGAAAGTCACCGAATTGTGAAGGCATTTTCCCTTATTCGGACTACTGTGTCTTCTCCTAATCATTTTTTCCTTCACAATTGAATGGACGAAGTCGATAGAATTTCATTCTTTACTAACTCACTCCAAAGAAAAAATGTGGGACCTGTCCAGCACACTGTCAGCCCCTAACGTTCAATGTTTTTTTAAAGTGCTTCTTTCTTCATTTGCAGTGTTTATTGCAGTCATTACTTTCTGAAACATCTTTCGACTCTCTTTGAAAGTTCATTTCGTTTGTGTTTTGTTTAGATTATTTTCTCAGTGTCATAACATAATGCTTTATCCTTATGTCAAACCTTAACTTACATAACGCTATAACATTCAATAAGATGATGCTATTCTTGCTGCGTCACCTCTGACCCTCAGCGCAGTGGAAAGTGATCAACATTACCAAGCTAATGTCACATCAGCTGATAATGCAACAGTTTTGTCACCATTGATCTCTGCAAAAAGGACACGGCATGAAAACGATAGGAAGGGTAACAAAAGGAAGAGTTTGAAAGAACTGGGAATGCCTCTACACCTGTCAAGGCACAAAGCGAGCAGGGTGTGAACTTAACGTACTTTGCAGTTGTAAACTGGTTGGTACAAAATGCAATGACATTACTGCTCACCCTCTTGGAAAGAAAAGAGAGCCTACGTGTATGCCATGATAAACAGGATAGACAAAAAGTGATCTTACACAGCAAGTGTAAACCCAAGGAGAAATTACACCCTTCAATACCACTTAAAAGAGTCAATGGTCAAAGAACACCTGTTTGTTAACCAATCTTCACGAACACTGCAGGCCTGACCCACTGGTTTATTTAAAGTGTCTTCTCCGAAAAAAGAACAAGAGCCCCCCCCCCCCAAGAACACATCATGCCCACCACGAGAGAGCCAAGGGTGACAAGTTGTTCCATAAAGAGTAATTTTGGACAAACTTAGGAAGAAATCCTCCTGTGTACAGATGACAATCCAGAAAACGTCAGATCTGCATCGAGTATACATGGAGAAATGAGCAGAGAGACAGAAAAAACATTGAGCTATCAAGTGTTCTGCCAAAACTTCAAGAAAAACAATTTGGGTTTTCTTTCAACCAAAAAAGAGCAGTGCGACATTTGCACCAGCTTTGAGTCAGTCTGGAAACCTCACAGAAATAGAATGTACAGCTCATCAATAATTTTAATTTATGAATATGAGGAAAGCTGCAGCTCGAGCAGAGAAGGAGAAGGACAGGGAGGCTGCACTGAACCCAGAACAAAGTGTGTGTCCTTTGTATGAAGACCCAGCGCGTCCTCCTGGCACCATCACTGACACCCGCCTTATATTATAAAACAAAACTGGCTGTACATAATTTTACGATTTAGGATCTTGCCACCAGAGACGCCAGATGATATGTCCTGGATGAAAGTGAAAGTGGTCTGAACTCCAACAGTTTTCATCATGTTTGACTCACTACCTTAGATTGCAAGTGACTGACTTCAACCAATTCATCATCTGCAGTGATTGGTGCAACTACTAAAACAGAAATTGCCACCCTGGTGAGTGCAATGGCCTCGGTGGCCAAAGAGCTTGACATCACAGTTGAGCAGAAATTCTCACCAAGGGCCACTATTGAGCGATCGCTCCAAAACGCACTGATATACATCCCAATGGACTACGTGAACATCGTGCTCCAAGCCAGACGCATCCCCAGGTCCTAAGAAGTTATGTACCTGGGCCACAGCTTTTTCAAAGATTTCGTAAAGGTCGGAGAGCACTAAACAATCCGTCCAGGTAGAAAAGAAGGCGATCCGACTGTCACTGACTTGCAGGCTTCAAAGTGCACTCCATACTTTAAAATTCAGTACAAGCTGAACTTTGAGGATGGATGGCAGGCGCTGCAAGGACCAAAAAGCTGAACACCCAATGTACGACGGTTACTGCTGGACCTCTCTGAAAGACAGATTGAAGATAACTGCCAACCAGTTTAAACATCTACTGGAGTTGAAGGCGGTCCTACCACGATGCTACCACAATTACCATGAAACTTTGCCTCAGTAAGACGTTTGAAAGCGATCAAGTCAAATTCGAATATTGTTGAGTCTTTCAAAACAATGGTAACTTTTGTCGTATTGCCTTGTTATAGCCACAGGACACAGAGTGGGACAGACATGCTCTTCTATTGTTGAGAAAACTCAATAATATAGTAGTTGTCAAGCCATGCACCTTGAAGAAAGTTGGCGCATTCTTTGACACCTACAAAGTCTTTTTGTATAATAATAATTTATTATTATGAAGCCAACTTCACTCAAACCATTGCTGAGGTAGCAGAGCTTCTCTGTGGCTTTCTGCTTTCATTTCTTTCTTAGTATTACTTTTTTCCAGGCATTTGAAAGGCCACCCAGTGCCAATAGTACCGTGTCAGACACTGTCATAAATTCTAAAGGCCTGCTGATGCTACTGCTACTACTTTTGTTTTTGTTTTTGTTGTTGTGGTTGTTGTTTTTGTTGTTGTTGCTGTAGCTGCTCTCCCTTACCATTCAAACCTCCTGTTCTTCTACTTCAAATATAATTAATATACCCATTGCTGTGTTCTGCTTCTTCTACTTCCATTAAATGTTCCAATTTGTGACTGCTGTTTTTGCCAGAATTTTTCTTCTTTTTCTCCTCCTCCTCCTCCTCCTCCTCCTCCTCCTCCTCCTCCTCCTCCTCCTCCTCCTCCTCCTCCTCCTCCTCCTCCTCCTCCTCCTCCTTCTTCAATCTTTTTCTTCTTCTTCTTCTTCTTCTTCTTCTTCTTCTTCTTCTTCTTCTTCTTCTTTTTCTTCTTCTTCTTCTTCTTCTTCTTCTTCTTCTTCTTCTTCTTCTTCTTCTTCTTCTTCTTCTTCTTCTTCTTCTTCTTCTTCTTCTTCTTCTTCTTCTTCTTCTTCTTCTTCTTTTATCTTCTTCTACAAAAGATCACGACGATTGAAGAACTGATCAAATACGTTACAATCAAGTGTGGCTTGGCTGCACTCAACCAAACTGGTGGCCAGCAGTGGCTTCCTGATAAAACCGGCCAACCCACAAAATTGAGGGTTGGTCGGTTTTATCGGGGAAAATTTGAGCAACATAACCGTCTAACCCACGCAGTTTCATTAAAAGCGATTTTTTAAGAAAAAAAAGGTCTACAATTGTTCGGTAAAGTGTTTTTATAACTGTTTAAAGCATTGATTTATCGTTAGACACGTTTGTTTTGAAATAAAACAGTTTTTTCCTTCTCCTGTAAAATTTACCTCGCTGGGGTTAGCCGGTTTTATCACAAGGCCGACGATATATATCTCAAGTTGTCTTTTGTCAATAAAGTATATATATCTCATTTTATTTTATGTCAGTGAAGTGTGTATGTTATCTCATCTTTAGTCAGTAAAATATAATTTTTTCTCATCTTATCTAGATATATATATATATTTGAACATATATTTAGTCAATTTTAAAAGTATATATGTGTCACCACGCTGTGGAATCAGGCGCACGTCAATTTTTGGACGTATGAAGTTAGCTGCATCATTTTAAAACTTGTTTATTTGCCTTGCTTTGGTTGAAAAGAATACCCATCCACTTTGAAAAGAAGTCGAGATACATGTATATGAAATTGAAGGAAGTGTGGGTCACTTTATTTCAGAGTTAAAAGTAGCGAGAAAATGGTCGCCAAAGTTTGATAACTTCAATAGCTTAAGGGCCTTTAAAAACTGAAAATGTACATATTTTATGCCTTTTATCAACGTTTTTCAGTAAAATTCACATGGAAAAATGTTTTTATATAGTCATAAAAGTTGTTGATCACAAAAACAAAAATTTGATAAAAGTTGCCCAACTGGCGAAAAAATGCCTGTTTCTCCAATTTCGTTTTTTTTGACGAGCGCCTGATTTCACCACACTGCCTCACATATAGTATAATTTTATCACATCTTATCTACAGTCAGTAAACATCTCATCTTATATTAAGTCAATAAATTGTATATCTCATGTGATAATTATTATTAAAATGTCACATCTTAAATCTTGTCGACAGCAAAGTTTTTCGGAGGGAAAACTTTCTTCTCCCCTGGAGTCGGTCAGCGGCCTCTTGGTCAACATCAGCACGGGTGTGGCGTCGGCTCAGCTCTCCGATGTGTCTCCTGACGTTTCGTCAGCCTGCTATGCCGTCATGACGTCAGAAAGTGCCTCTGATGTGGCAGTGTCAAGGTCACTGGCGGTCCTGAGCAATATCTTGCCGCACAATTCAGCCGCTGTGGGTTTCATGAGTGAAGGAGAGAGGGTGGTTACGATTCTCAACCTTTTGAAGGTAGCACTGTTGTTTGGTGAATGTATCAATGATGTAGCCTTCCCCTTGGGTTTTTTTGTTGTTGTTTTGGTTTTCTTTTGTTTTCTATTTTAATCTAGGTGTTTTTACACCTTCACCAAAAAAATCAGATCATTTAGAAGACAGGCTTCTCTGTCAGGGCCAACTGTCTTGTTGTGCGTATGTGAGTGGGTGCACCTAACCTTTGTGACACCTTTGTGTTTGACTGTATTTCAGAGTACTGTCAAATCTGCTGAGGTCATAATATAGATTGTAAAGTACATAGAGCTTGCTGTTGAGTGAGAATTCCTGCTAGCAAATTCTATTTATTGTTGTTATTATTTTATTATTATTATTATTATTATCATTATTATTTTTATGGTTATGATTGTTGTTGTCGTTATCATATTACCATTATTATTATCACCATCATCATTTTTATTATTATTATCATTATTATTAACTCACTCACTGCCATGCCCGAACCCTGTCGGGTGAACCGCATAGACTGCTGCCTGCCAAACCCGAAACCCGTCGGGTGCGTTTTTACTACTATTTTTCAAACATTCCCCGATGTGTTTCGGGCTTGGCAGTCGGAAGTAGGCGACATAAGCCAGTTTAGTTTTGATTCCGCATTGTTGCAGTAACTTCCCTTGAATAAGTTACTTAAAAATCTGACTTTTTCGAACTCACCCGAAACAAACTAAAAACTACTGACGCTCAGTTACGATGGCGTCGGCTTATCAACGAGGTTGGAACATTTGAATTGATGGACCCATTCATCAATAAAGGGTCAGATTTAGATCTTTTAGCAGATGATAGTGATGATGAACCATCATACTGAGTTGATAAGGAGTTAGGAAAGGAAATAGGAGAAGTGCGGACACAAGTGAAGATGAAATTTGTGCTAGATCTAGGCCTAGATCTAGAATCGGGTGTTCCCCGTGCTCAGACCAATGATCCGATGCTTCCCAGTCCCAGTTCAGGCCGTCACGCAAACGTCAAAGATCACACAACATAGATTTAGACCCCAAATGATGGGAATACAGCTGACATAGACCCTCCTAGTCCTAGGTCTACACAACAAACTTCAAATATTGGCACCCCTCCCCCAGTGGCCATGCCCCGTCCTGCAATTTGTCAGATATCTTTTCATAGTGACTCTTCAACATTTGTCAGTTGATACAACATCTATTTCTTGCAGAGACAAAGATATAAAGGCATGAATATTGACTGAATGTACCGAGCACCTAAATGTTATATAAAAGGTTTTTCTCTCGATTTTGCCACATATTCACAAACTCATAAAATTTCACATGATAAAGGTATCACAAAATTTTTTTTGGATTTGTTGAGTATGTTTCAATGTCATTGTTTGTGGAAAAGTTCAATGCTGTACACAAAATAATAAGGTCACAGTGAGGTTTTGAAAAAGGTCCCGAAAACCTGGCATTCCTCAGTTACCCTGCACAGAAATGCCTGGCAGTGAGTGAATTAAATAATTAATAATATTATTTTTATAATAATTATTATTATTTTTATTTTTATTACTATTATTATTGTTGCTTATCATTATTATTATGATGATGATGACGATGATGATGAGGATGATGATGACAATGATGACGAAGATTATTATTATTATTGTTATTATCATCATTGCCCTCAGTGTGGTGACTCAGTCAAGGAGAAATCTGCCCTCAAATGTCTGACGGCTCTCACTAGAGACAGTGGTAGTGTACGTCAGGTGGTGGCTGATAACAAAGGTAGGTGGAGGGAGGAAGGGGAGGGAGGGAAGGAAAGAGGATAGGGGGTGGAGATAAGGAAGGGGGAGGGAGAGGGGGAGGGAGAGGGGGAGAGAGAGAGAGGAAAGGGGGGAGGGAGGGAAGGAGAGATAAGGGGTGGAGATTCTGGCTCTCCTGCAAAATTGTAAAATCTGCATATATACTGTACTTTTTAAAATGACAGCTGTATGCAACTTCTCATTTCTCAATCAAACGAAAAATCACCTCACCCTAGACCATTTCTCATTTCTCTACTTAACAAAACATCACCTCACCTTAAAGTACTTCTCACTTTTCAACCAAATTTTATAAAAAACCACCTCACCCAGAACAATTTCTCATTTTTTAACCAAACAAAAAAATCTCCTCACCCTTGATAATTTCTCATTTCTCAACCAAACGAAAAATCACTTCACCTTAATTTAAAGTACTTCTCATTTCTCAAGGCAACAAAAAAAATGACCTCACTCAAAACAATTTCTAATTCTTCAACCAAATTAAAAATCACCTCACCCTAAACTATTTCTCATTTCTTAACCAAACGAAAAATCACCTCACCTTAAAGTACTTTTTTCTCATTTTTCAACACAGCCAAAAATCACCTCACCTTAATTAAAGTACTTCTCATTTCTCAACCAAACAAAAAAATCTCCTCACACTATACAGTTTCTCATTCCTCAACCAAACGAAAAATCACCTCACCCTAAAAGTTGACGTGACAAAATTGCATGTTCTCCTTTGTTTTTTTCTGTTGGCTGCAGGGACTTCCTTGCTACTGAACTTGCTGAACAGTGAAGACGAGAACACCCTAGGAAATTGTGCTCTGTGTCTGTCTCACATCTGTGCTGTGGATAAGGTCATTATTATTAATACTATAATTATTATTTTTATTATTATTGTTATTATTATTATTGTTATCTTCATTATTATATTATTATTATTATTATTATTATTTATTATTATTATTATTTTTATTGTTATCATCATCATCATCATTATTATTATTATATTAGTATTATTATTATTATTATTATTATCATCATCATCATCATCATCATTGTCCTCATTATTATGGTTATTATTACTTTGAATGCTTGTGATACAATACCAGTACCACCAGTACCATTCTTTATCTCTGCCCACAGGTGTGCTCCAAACTGACCAAGACAAACATCATCCAGCGTCTGCTTGTTCTGGCGCGGGACGGTCGCAAGCCGAACGTTCAGTCAAACTGTGCCATTCTCATCGGGAAACTGGCTCAAGGGGATGCCAGGTGGGAGATCTTGATGTCCTCCTCGGTTTTCTCATTTTGTTTTACAATAAATGAGGCCGCGTGGTACAATCGGTCGCTCGTCAATTTTTAGGCATGTGGAGTTATTGGTATCATCTGAAAGCTTTTTTATTCGCCTTGCTTTCGAGGAATAAAATACCCATCTATCTTGAAATAAAGTAGAGATATACCGAGTTGCAAAAGTTTTGTCACACCCACCTTAAAAGTACCATAACTCATTTACTACTCAGCATAGCCAAGAGAAATTTGGTACCCGCGATCTTTATTCATTTTCTGCCAGCATGACATAAAAAGAATTGACAAATGTCTTTCTTTGTTCAAGGGGGATAATTTTATTCACACTGACTCTTGCAAAATCCAAATCAAAGTTTGCCCAGTATGGCGTGTGGCCTCTTCTAGCTTGAATTACTGATACAAAACATCTGTTCATTGGCTGAATTGAAGTCCTTATGGGTGTCTGAAGAATCCCCTGCCATTCCTTGTGAAGTGCAGCCTTCAGTTCCTGACCAGTTTGTACTGAGTGCGGCCTGTTTCTTATCCTCCAGTCAAGGTCATCTTACAGATGTTCTGTTAGGTTATGGCTTGTGGATCTTGCAGGCCAGTCCAGAACAACGATTTGATGTGTTTGGAAGAAGTTTTCATTCATCGTAGCCATTTGTGGTTGGGCGTTGTCTTGTTAGCCGATTCCATCATCTGTGCCATGTAGCGTATTCACTGTGACGAAGAATTTCGTCACAATAATGTCGTTATTTGAGATTGCTTTGAAAACTAACTAAATGTATACGATAAAAGCAGAGATTCCACCACCTACCATCACATTTCAGCCACCTTTGGGCCTCTTGGGGGACGTTAGATTTGTGACATTTCTCTTCTCTTCTTTTGAACACTTTTTCTCCTCCATCAATGCTACGAATTAAAAACCTTAACCATTGCTGAAAAGAACACTTTACCAACGTCTTTAGTTTTACGGACAATGTTGTTTTGCCAAAATTTGGCGATTTCTTCCATGAAACAGGGTTAGAATGGTTACATATAAAGGGCGATAATCACGTAATCCACGATCTTAAAAATGTCCAATAATGATGTTTCAAGACAGTCCGAAGTGCCTGGCAGTCTCTGCACTAAGTTGGAATGGGTTTTGAACATGGGTGTTGACAATAACCCAATTCTAATGTCGAGTTGTCGCCCTTGGTTGGCTACGTCTCAGCTTGTCTTGGTCAGTTCTAGTGGTGTTAAAACGTTTGTTCAAGGGTTAGATGATTCCTCTGCAAACATTTACGTGTCTTGCAAATGCAGAACGCGCTATTAAAGAATTTATCATACACACGGCCCCTTTATTTTCTGAGTTTATCATTTTTATAAATTTTGAAAACAGGAGAAAAAGGTACCCAACCGTTAAAAAGTACGGAATTTTATAGTGTGTAAGGTGTGTTTACACATTGTCTATGTGATTGAAAGCAAATTGTGTGTGTAGGAAGCGTTGATATCAACACAGACCGAGAGAAATCAATACCAACACTTTGTCCCTGTTCTACTTCCGGTTTATGATTGGTCTGCTCTTGCACAAGAAGTCTCATAAGTCCCACAAGTCATACTTTTAACTTTTACTGAAATTCTTATTCTATATAGAAAATTATCGTAATATAATGGGTGTGACAGAACTTTTGCAACTCGGTATATTTGCAATTGAAGGAGGTGAAGTTGCCTGGTTTCAGTGGTAAAATTAGCGAAAAAACGGCAGCCAAAGTTTGGTTTTTCTAATACTACTAGCTAGAGAGTCCTTGACAACTGAAAAATGACAAATTTTGTGTCTTTAATTAATCAGCGTTTTTCAGTAAACTTCAATTGGAAATGTGTTTTTATATGGTATGGAAATAAAAGGGGTTGAGCCAAAAAGCAAAAATTCAATAAAAATTGCCTTATAGTGAATGGCGGGAAAATGCCTGTTTAACCGATTTCATTTTTTTTTACAAGCGCCTGATTCCACCACGATGCCTCAATATTATTTTACATATTACAAGCTGGGCCCCCTTTCGATCAAAGGAATGATCAGTGCATTAACGTTAGCCTAAAGTCTTTGGCTTATGTCTATGATAGAATTACATTCTACTGTAATGGAGAAATAAATCTTGAAAGATGCACAAATTAGAAGGTTTAGATCTGTACTCTCAAAACTGCGCTCGGTTAGTGAACGGAAACCTCCTTTTCTAAATTTACAGTGACAGAAGCGTCAGTCTACAAAAGCGGTCGGCGAAATAAAGAAATTTAGCTTTTTGCAGCAAAACTGTCTTCAAACTGAAAAAACGAAGGGCGTCATGATCTGGAGAGTATTTTATAGAATCTTTTGGCGAAAAGCGCATGTCGATCGATGCAGCCAATAAAAAGCCTTTTGAATAGCAAAATTCGGTCACCACAAATAGATAATAGATAAAACACAGTTCAACTCCACAACCTCATTCCCCACCCTAAGAGTACTATTTGATGAGCTAGGGAAAAAACAAATTCTTCGGCATATCCAGGTTTTCAGAGCACCCAATGCAACATAAATGTCCCGCTGATTTTCTGTATTTAAGAATAGAGTTAAGAATAGAGAAATATTAGACCATTTACTGGACATACAAGTTTTTAAAAGGTTATTAGAAAAAAAATGTCTCAATTCGTAGAAAAATGCCAGTTTCTTTGATTTCATTATTTTGACAAGCACATGATTTTAAACAAAATTTCGAAAAAATGTGTCCAATTGGTACGAAAACGCCAGTTTCTTTGATTTCATTACTTTGACAAGTACCTGATTTCACCTCAATGCCACCACACGTTTGTAGCATTATCACCCTGAGTATATTTGGTCGCTTTTAAGGACAAGCGGGCTAATAACCAGATTTCAGGGATTTCCAGAAATCTTGACCAACACATAAAGTGGGCATTCCCCTACCTATAGCAGAAGTTTGGTTTCATTGGTGTGTATATTTGTTTGGTTATAGAGAAAACTCTCCTTGTATTTTAAAGCAACTGAACTTTACTTTTTACTTTTATCCGCCGCTTATACCCTTTTGGGTGTCGCAGGAAGAAAGAGACGTCTCTCTGTCGCCAGCCGGAGAGCTTGGGTCAGGGGGATGCCGTGGGTGGTTAATGTTTCCCTGACTCCATCTATCCAGGTCTTTCTCGGTCGCCCTCTAGCCTTGTTGCCATCGAATTTTTTTACGTAGGCACGTTGTGCTGGATGGTGTGTTGGTAATCGTTGGAGATATCCGAACCTTTTGTATATTTGTTTGGTTATAGAAAAAACTCTCCTTGTCTTTTAAAGCAACTGAACAAGGGTCCAAAAACTTTACCTCCAATTTTCTCAAAACCGCATTTTTCAGGATAGCCCCCTTGTGCTTAAAAATGACCATTTTATTTTTTCAGACATCTAGAGCGCCTGCGAGAGCTACACGGGATTGAGATTCTCCACTCTTGTATGAAACACGTCAAGTGATGGACGAACGAAAGCTTGTCTTGCTGTGCTGAGGGACTTAGATTTCTTCATTCGTTTTTTTGGGGGGGGGGGTTTTTTTAGTTTAAGCAGAGGTTTTACAGCGCTCGCTACTGCATAAGGTCATATGAGCAGCAAGGGTGGATAGGCAGGTGAAAATGATACAGATATGGTCCTAGTCCTAGTTGTGTTTTTTTTTGGGGGGGGGGTTCATGCTTTTGTGTGTGTGTGGGGGGGGGGGGGGGGGGTATAAATTACGTATTGTTTGCTGCTTGTTGAAAGTGTAACCAGTTGAGAATAAAATTGTTCAATAAAATAATTGTTAAATAAAACTGTAACATTTTCTTTGTCTCCTTTTTTGTTGGGGGTGTATCGCTTTTTTTACCTTGAGTCTTCCTGTTTTCGGTGGCGTCGGTGGCCTAGTGGTTAGGCTACCGAACTTGTAATCGAGAGGTTGCGGTTTCAGGGGTTCGAATCGCAGGCCCGACATGTCCTTGGAAAAAGCACTTTACATGAATTTTCCTCACTTCAGCTAGGTGGAATTGGGTCTACCAGGGTATAGACAGCGAAAGATCTTGTCAGTTTGTCAGTCTTTTAGCGCCTATAATGGCAGCTTGCACTGTATGCTTCCCAGGAAGTTGAGATTGTTAAAGAATGCTATCAGATCTGCTAGGATTGTGAAGCTCACAGAGCTTGCTGTTGAGCGGGAAGTTGCTCTATACAAATGCTCTCTTTTATTATTATTATCAATCTCACCCTTAACACTTTGCCATCATATTTTGGGGAAAATCCAAAGAAACTTGGTGGTAAACATCGCCAATCGCCGAGATGAGGCGGTAAATAGTTTAAAAAAGAGTAAGTAAAGCTGACTAATAAAATTGAATGAAAATTTCCTGAGGTTTTGCAGGCCAAGAGGTAAAACGTTTGCCTCCTATTCCCAACTATAGCTTGTTCACTTTTGTCTGACCACGGTTAAAACAAGGTAAAATAAAAATCACTCTGTTTAATCTTCTCAGATCTTTGCATATGGGTCTAAAAGTTGGATATGTGACAGAATCTAAAAAAACCCCAGGGTAGTGCCACTGACTGTAGTGTCTTTAGGTCATTCCCAAAGGGTGGACATTTCTCGTTCAAGCACAGTAGAAAAATGGGCTGATTCATGTCATGCTCATAACTGTGCCTGATCTACAACAGGAAACTGCTGCTTTTTCCTTCCTAATCCTTACTATTGTCATTTTTCCTCTACTTCTTTGTATGTTTGTCACACTCTTGTGACCTGCTATATTGGGGTGCTTTGATAGTCGAAGCAGACCTTGTGCTGTTGAAGCTACTAGAGAGGTGAGCAGTCTAAGTCTGATTCCCTGTAAAGACTTCTCTGTTGACACCCACCCCTTGGCGCTCATATGACCTTATGCAGTTGCAAGCGCCGTAAAACCCTCTGCTATTTTTTTTTTTAAAAGAATCTAAAAGCCCATTCATAAAGGTCACTGCTAACTACAGTTCCAACACGCTTTTTTTTATGTATGCCTAAAGCGGGTCTAAAAAATAATGGGGTGGGTTTATGACAAACCTAAAACATTTAATAGTTGACATATTTTCCTCAGCGCCACTCCTTATCGCACACCTAAGACTAAGAAATAAGATTCAGAAGAAGGGGCGAGTGATTTTCGAGACTCATGTGGAACATGTAGAGCTGTCAAGAAAGCTGGGGGATGAAGTCGACAACTTTACACTGAAATGTGGGGGTAGGGTGGTGTCACTGTCTAAAAATGAGCAATTTGTTGGCAAGGTTACAGTGAGCCATTTATTTTAGTGTGATCCTGTGCATGCATCTAAAGAGCGGCCCAAATAGAAAAACTTTTTTATTACTGGATCAAGATTTTTTTAAAAAATTATTTTTGTTTGGTCGCTGACCAGCAGAAGTGCCATGCAAAGTTTCGTGGGCATAAGTAAATAAATAAATGAGCCAGAATTTTTTTAAGCAGTAAGACGAAAGTGAACAAGCTATACCAAGATTTCTAGTTCAATCCCTGGTTTATACAGGAATGGTAGCCAGCTCACAACATAAAAAATTCTTTTTCTTTTCTCTTTGACTCGCCCTCAGATGGCGTTTTCAGTTTTACTAAGAGTTTTACGGCACTTGCAACAAAAGTTGGTCATCATATATACATGCCAAAGATCAGAGGTGTTACTAGACTTGAACACACAAATAAATAAGGACGACGGATATTTGATGGGAAAGAAGGAGCAAACCACAACATTGCACCCACCAAACATCCTCAGATGGATTTTTTTTCACTTTTGGACTACCCTGTAGAAAAGAATTTGTTGCTGAGCCTCAGATAGTTTGCAACACATTAGGACATACAATTGCCGAAGATTGGAGGTGTTACAAGGGAATAACAAACTCAAAAAAAGAAAGTATAGTTTAGTAGTTTTAGTAGAGGTTTTACGGCGCTCCCAACAGCATAAGGTCATATGAGCACCAAGGGGTGGATGTCAACAGAGAAGTCCTTACAGGGAATCAGACTTACTCGGCTCACTTCTCTAGCTTCAACAGCACAAAGTCTGCTTCAACTATCAAGGCACCCCGGAAATAGCGGGTCACAAGAGTGTGACAAACATACAAAAGAAGTAGAGGTAAATGACGATAGTAAGGATTAGGAAAGAAAAAGCAGCAGTTCCTAGTCGTAGCTCAGGCACAGTTATGAGCATGACATTGTTGGACCAGCCCATTTACAATTCTACTGTGCATTAGAATGAGAAATGTCCCCCCTTTGGGAATGGCCTAAAGAGGAGAGATAAGGACTGACAAGGATTTGATAGGAAAGAAGTACACTTTCAATTTCATGGAAGACAGTGCATCAAAACTATGATGACACCCATCAATCATCAATAAACTCATGGCAGGTTTTAGATTACAAGCAGTTTATTCACATCTCTTAATATAGATATATGTGTGTGTGTATATATATATATATATATATATATATATATATATATATATATATATATATATACATACGGTATGTTACAGCAAAGGTCATGGGGGTCACAATGGCTGGCACGCTACAAGTCGCACAAACATAATTCATGACAAACAACATATATTAATGTGACAGCTAACTGGTAGTAGAACGCTACAACAAGTCACATAAACATAATTCATGACCTAGAACATACATACACTAATGTGACAGCTGGTAGTAGAACGTTACAAGTCACATAAACATAATCCATGACTCCATTAATTAATGACATACAACATACATTAATTTGACAGCTGGTAGTAGACTTCTGCATCATCACAGCAGCATGTGGTGTCTCCACAAAGTCTTACCGGGTATACATATAATATAGTCGTTCTAGAAAAAGATCTCTAGAGAAAAGAGCAAATGACGGTAGCTAAGATCAAGGAAGGTTTGAAAAAGGCAAAAAACAACATCGAGAAAAAAGCAAAAGGAGATTTATTATAATATAATGAAAAAGAACGTAATAAAAATAGGGTTTTTACATTTTATTTGGTGTTTTTCTGTGGGAAGAGGCTAGGGAGACCAGGATTAGCCTAGTATTCTAGGGAGACCAGGATTAGCCTCGTAGTCTGTCTAGGGAGACCAGGATTAGCCTCGTAGCCTGTCTAGGGAGAACAGGAATAGCCTCGTAGTCTAGGGAGACCAGGATTAGCCTCGTAGTCTAGGGAGACCAGGATTAGCCTCGTAGTCTGTCTAGGGAGACCAGGATTAGCCTCGTAGTCTGTCTAGGGAGACCAGGATTAGCCTCGTAGCCTGTCTAGGGAGACCAGGAATAGCCTCGTAGTCTAGGGAGACCAGGATTAGCCTCGTAGTCTAGGGAGACCAGGATTAGCCTCGTAGTCTGTCTAGGGAGACCAGGATTAGCCTCGTAGTCTAGGGAGACCAGGATTAGCCTCGTAGTCTGTCTAGGGAGACCAGGATTAGCCTCATAGTCTAGGGAGACCAGGATTAGCCTCGTAGTCTAGGGAGACCAGGATTAGCCTAGTCTGTCTAGGGAGACCAGGATTAGCCTAGTTGTTGTCTAGGGAGACCAGGATCCTGGTCTCCCTAGACACTTCCTTTTCTTTGATTAGCTTGGTTCGACTGGGGGTCTATGGGACAGAAGATTTAAGCAATGATGAAGATGTCTCACCTGAAACAAAGACTAAGAAGACACATTTCTCAAAGTGGAAGGACCTAACCAATATGTTTCTCATGTTTATCGTTCACTACTGTTGTAGCCAGAACAGTATCACTTCAGCATCTCTTTTTATTCGGGCTACAAGTATACTCGTAACAAGGACTAGGCCGGGCTGAGAGTTAACTCGGAACAGCTATACGGACACATGAAACAGCTAGATCAGTCTGAATATTTCAATTTTCAGATGAACAGTGCTTTCTTTGTTTTTTGATGGGTAGATCTGTAAATCTAAGGGGACATCATGGGGGCGGCAATCAGAGTCAAGTTGGAGTGTGGAATACACCTCAAAATCTACATTTGCAAATTGATGTTATTACTAACCACATACATTTCCAGATACTACATTCAATTTCTAACATAACTGCCAAATTTCCTTAAAATCTAAGAGTAAATGTAAGAAATACAGCACTTTGAAATATACATCCTGAATTCCAACTCATATGGCGCGGTGCCCCAAGACGGGTACAGAGTCAGTAGAGGTACGGCCAGGATAAAGAGTTAAGCCCGGTTCCCTTAGCCTACAGGATCCGTTCCCTGCACCTGAGCTCTCCATAAACCCCTTCATTGCCTTATGACATACCTAGTACGTCACGAAAATGCATAATTTTTAGGCTTTTGTGTGGTACTATGGACATCACAGGAGTTGGCAAAATTTTTAATTCCCGGTTGCTGATAAGACACTGCATCCTGTACATTCCCGCAAATCATCTGACTCTAATTCTTCTGTACAGAAATCTAGCGATAACACAACATGGATCCACATTCAGGAATTGATAATGCGCATATTGGTACCAAACTTATTATTATTAGTTTATTGTTTATGCTTGAAACATGGTTACAGAATGAAAGGGAAATGGATACAAAGCAATAGAATTTTTTTTTTAAAAAAGGTCTTCTTCTTTTAGTAAGCATTTTACCGTACAGCACATGCAACACAATTAGGCTATATACGTGCCGAAGAACAGGTATTACAAGAGAGAGACCGTAAGAAAACATACAAAAATAAAGAGAAGAGATAACTTAAAGATAATAGATGCTTGATGAGCACGAAGGAGTAAACCACACCAGAACACTCGCCAACCATCCATGAGGAAAAGTTGTGCAAGAGCGACCGCTTCTAGCAATACAGACTGTACGCTTCCCAGGAAGCTGAGGTTGTTTCAGAATGCTCTCAGGTCTGCAGGGGTAATAGTGTAGAATGTGAAGCGCATAGAACTAGCTGCTGAGCGGGGGATTTGCGCTATACAAATGCTATCTATTATTATTATTATTAGCAAAAGGCAAGAAAAAGGAATGGAGAGATTTACCAGCAATAACAGCGCCCTGAGCTACCAATCGTCCATTTCACCAACAGTGGGCAGATCTATGGATTTGGTTTAGTACAGTATGAGTTAAAGTTTTACGGTACTTGCAACACAATAAGGCCATATAAGTGTCGAAGATTAGAAATGTTACAAGAGAGTAACAAACACAAAAAAAGGAGGAAAGATAAGGACAATAGATGTTTGACAGGAAAGATGGTGCAAACCACAGCAGAGCATGCGCCAAACACCCGCAGTGTGAGTGTTTAACGCTCCTTTTGACATTACAAGATTATTAATGATATGGGACCTCCGAATTTTACGTTTGCCCCTGACAGGACTGGGTCAAATGGGTTGATTTCTTTGAAAACTCCACAAAATGATGCGAGTGCAAGAACGCCCAATCTGGGATTTGAACCAGGGCTCTGTAATCCAGCATGATACCTACTGAGCAAATGCACAAAACTTCAAGACAAAGACAAACAAAAATGCTTTCTTGGGGCTTGACAACTTCCAAGTAGGACCTATCCATCAATACAGTCAAAAGAACACACAAGAACTATCAGCCTTACCTCCCATCCAATCAAACACATTCAACACCCACAACATAAAGCAGTCTTATATCAATGCAGTTTACAGTAATATTTACATTACATTAGCTTTGTGTAGAGTTACATTTACATTTTCTCACTTCAGGCATTACAATACGGTTATGAATCCTGGTCCTTCTCTCTTCAGTAGACTTCGAAACAAAGTACAGTCCAACCTGGCTCTAACAGCCACCTATATATATTTATAAGACAATCACTTGTACAAACTATGGTTACTTCCCCCATTTCCTTCGAGGCCCTTGTGCAATTTTTACACTGTGCACGAGAGTTGGCAGCCTGCCTAATACTGCCATTTTTCACGTGGACCAGTTTACACAATTTCAACAGTAGTCTTTGTTTTCAGGATGCCTTCAGGTATATTAGAATAGCGCTAAGCATTTTAACCCCACACATATTTTTGGTTCTAGTATTTTAGTAGAGATTTTACATCGCTCGCAACTGCATAAGGTCATATGAGCGCCAATGGGTGGATGTCAACAGACAAGTCCAAATGGTGAATCGGGCTCACTCTGCTCACCTCTCTAGCTTCAACAGCACAAAATCTGCTTCGACTATCAAGGCACCCCGGTAGTATCAGTTCACAGGAGAGTGAAAAACATATAAAAGTAGAGGATAATGACAACAATAAGGATGTGTTCTCAGGATGCTTTCCGGTATATATTGGAATAGTGCTGAGCATTATAACCCCAGTCTTCTGCAAATCTCACAGACAGTTTTAGTCTCAGTATGAGTTTTATGACACTAGCTTGCAACGCAATAAAGTCATATAAGTGCACAAAAGATTAGAGGTGTTATCATAAAGAATAACAAAAATACAACAAATAAAATAGAAGAAGGGCAGATAAGGCTGACGGATGTTTGATAGGAAAGAAGGAGTAAACCACACAAGAGCACCTGTCAACCACCCACCCATCAATGTTTGGGACCAGGGAAAGGTGAATTAGCGTAAACTTCAAACCTGATCAAGCTGAGGGGGTGCAGGAGAGAGCCACGAATGAATACCACGCACACAACAGAAGTCCAAGAAAACCATATTGGGGGGTTGGAACCAGGGATGCAGACGTCTACTCGGAAACTGTTCTCACTGCACACGTGAAGGCGTCGCCACAACACCGCAAGAAACCACGCATGATTTTCCACTCAACACAGCAGACTGTAGAAAGGAAAGAAAGAGCTTCGCATTTTCAACTCCTTCCCCCCCCCCAAATTTCTAAATCACTTTCCTCCTCTTTAGAGATACTTTCAGCGTGTAACTCATTCACGCCACCACACAGTTCAAATTGCGGGTTGTCAAATATTGACGGCTGGAACACTCTAGTCGCCAAACACAGCCACCGTCCGCAAGTCTTGATGGCTGGCACACACGAGCTGTCAAACGCAGCTGTTCGGGAACCGTACAACCTTGACTAGTCAAGCCACGACTTTGTCTTTGGAAAATTTGGGAGCTAAACATCCGGCGAGCCATCAGGAGCTGAAGTCTGGCCACAGTTGCTGCACTCCCTTTGTCGCCGCCTCGATGTCCACCCGGCAGATTGGACACTTCTTGTTGGTGGAGAGCCACTGGTCCACGCAGTCGCTGTGGAACAGGTGCATGCAAGGCAGACGTCTGCAAACACAGAGAGGGAGAGAGAGAAGGAAAACATTTTAAATAGATAGTAAATTTGATGGATATCTGCACAGAGAATGAGTGAGAGAGAGAGAGAATGAGAGAGAGAGTGGGTGACAAAGAGTGAGAGAGAGTGAATGAGTGAGAGAGTAAGTGAGTGTGTGTGTGTGAGAGAGAGAGAGAGAGAGAGAGAGAGAGTCGACAGTAAATGGTAAATGCTTTACACCTCTATGGAATCATTATCCTGACACGAGACCCCAACCTCCACCTCTTTCAATCGCAAATATCTCAGCTTCTATTCAAGATGAATAGTAACTTTTTTTTTTGTTGGGTAAAAGCAAGACAAATGAACAGGCTTTGAGATAATACCAACAACTCAAAATGTCCAAAAATTGACGTGCGCCTGATTCCACAGCGCCAGACACGACGTATCTTCTTTGCGTTCCCCAGCAAGAACGATCTCCTGGGTAGCCAACTGCTGGTTCTTCAACCTGCAGTGCTACTGATTTTGTACTAAATGTGACCATTTTTTCCCCTACTAATCACGACACAAGAAATCATGCATGATTTTCAACTCAACACAGCAGACTGTCAAAAGGAAAGAGCTTCCCAGAAGCGGAAAGTCAGGGTTCGAGCCTCAGTTCGGGCTCGGATTTTTTTCCTGCCCCCCTCCTGCCCATCCAGCAGTAATAGGTATCTGACTTCGAGTCGGGGAAGTAAAGGCAGCAAGAAAGGAATTGGCCACCCTACCACAATATGCCGAAGGCCCAGGAAGTTGTCTCACTGACAAGGCAATCCCCAATGTCCAGATCAGACGCAGGAACAACTCTACTTTTTTTTTTAAATGTTAGTAAGAGTTTTACGGCACTTACAACACAATAAGGTCATATAAGTGCCGAAAAATAGATTACGTGTTACAAGAGAGTAACAAACACAAAAAAGAAGGAGAGATAAAGCGATAGACGTTTCATAAGAAAGAAGGAGCAAACCATACCAGAGCACCCGCCAACCACCCACCAACTTTACTTTAATCACAACACCTATTGTGACTACTCACCTGACGTCTTCATTGGCCTCAAACTCACACAGGCAGATGGTGCATTTTTCCTGGTGGTTGTTGTTGTCAGCTTCCTCCTTGTCACCGGACGAGCTCTCCACCTGGTCACACACAAGACAATGTCAAGGTCATTTATAAATCCAGTCCAGTTTTAGTTTTAGTAAGAGTTTAACGGCACTTGCAACACAATAAGGTCGTATAAGTGCTGAAGATTAAAGGTGTTACAAGGGAGTAACAAACACAAAAAAGGAGGGGAGATAAAGACAATAAATGTTTGATAGGAAAGAAGGAGTAAACCACACCAGAGCACCCGCCAACCACCCACAAATCCAGTCAAAGCTGTGTCTGCGCTTCAAACATAGAAAGAATTAGCCTTGAAAGAAGCTGCATGAAGACAACCTTGAGACCATCTTAAGCTAAATTGACCGTCTGCATAGACGAAAAAGAGAAATACATAACTGTGTCTAAGGCCACCCATAGTAGAGGAGAAAGTTGGCCATCCTAGACAGGTGGCTGCATTACACAAGGCAAACCGAGACACAATCTTTAGAAAGAAAACTCAAGAGAATTTCGGACAACATCAATAATTACATCTCGAGTAGATGTGAAAACTTGAAATTAATTGTAGGCCTATATCAAATCGATTGCTCAGTATAAGACTGTCATAAGTAGACACTTTTCTAGCAATGCCAATCGCCCGCTGCGCCTTGGGCCGGAAATCGGCCTCCGCGCAAGGGGTAATTTTTGGGCCATGGAATCAGAAGTGACTCTCTTCTAAGTATAGTTATGGGAAAACTCAAGGACGAAAATAAATGAAACTCGGCAACCAATCAAAGGAAAGGTTAAACTAACGACATGCCAACGTACAATCCCAAACAATTTCTAGAACCGAAGAAATTGCCGTGTTTGAGCTAATTACCTCTGGGGTTCGAAAACTAAGCGGAGCTGCAGGTTGATCGCCGACCACACAGGTGCCACACATGTCTTCTTTATTGCTGTAAAATTTCAAATCTCTGCGTTCAGTACATTTTACGTACCAACTTAAAATTCCCACCCATCCATTGATAAAACACTAGAGGTGGAAACTAGATCACGCATTCCAAATGCGAGGTGCCGGCATGTAAGAGGCGCCAGATCGCTAGGCGGTATATGATTGGCTGCCTATAACTAAATAGGTCACCGATGACTTCATCGCGGGTTTTCCCGATACCGCTTTATTGAGTTTTAGAAGGGGTGATCGCGTCGCAGTAAAAACGATGTCACGCAATTCAACAAATTTCACGCAAATATCAGTCTTTAAGATCCAAAGTAATTAAGACTGAAAAAGCGATAATTTTTTTTATTTATCAATGGATTTTTCAAATTTAAAAACCATAGTTCTTAGAACTTATTCTATTTTCATTTAAGCCCTTTTTAAAGCAATTTGGATGAAAATTTAATTTTCCATTGTCATTGCTAATTTTTCCTAAAAGCGTATGGTAGAGTCTCACACTGCAGTAGACATTTATAAATAAAGTCTGTAAGAGGAAGAGGGGAAATCAGCACTGCAGACATGGAAAGGATAATATAATTAAGCACATGTTTTATTATTTCGGCATGGGATTGTTCATAGTTTCAGGACGCAACATCCCTGCATTCCAGACAAGTCCATTGATGTTCCGTTGCACTCTCCAAAATGCCCCCCGAGGGTATTTCTACTGATGGGAAAATGGGCACGGGAAAATCCTTCTAGCGAGTCTTCTTACCTTCCTGTACTTGTGCGGCAAGGTGTTGCGCTCTATGGTTTCCTGCGTGGCCCCCAGCACGTTGCCGTGGTGGATGTCCAGCCCCGGCCGGAAGTGAGACTCCAGGGGGAAAGGCTTGACGCATCAATGGCAGGGGTGAGGGGGAGGTGGAGAGGGGTGTAGAGGGGAGCGAGGTGGGGAGGGGGGGTTGTGATGGGAGAGGATGTGGTGG